TCTCGCAGTTTCTGATGGACTCTGGGGAACAACTGGTGGAAACTGCATCAGATGCTGAAGCAGGACCCTCCCATGGTCCACATGCTGTCGGGACAAGCACGAGGCTCGTCGGTAGGCACTTCATAGAGAGGATTCCAAGCTCGGAAAAAAAGGAGAAAGTCGCACGAGTTTGCAAAGTGTGTGCCGACATTTCAAAAAAAGAAACCGGAAAAAGGGGGCGCAAAGAGACCATTTATTACTGCCCAGACTGCAATGTTCCTTTGTGCTACTATCCCTGCTTCAAAATGTTCCACACACAAAAAAATTACGTTCTTTAGTTAGCTCAAGTATGTAAGAATGTTTATGTTGGAGTTTTTTTTTCGCTTGTAGACCTCTTTTGTTAATTTTTTTTCATAAATATTTTTCATTATTTTTAATGTTTTTTACTTCTTCCTTTAAAATATAAAGAACAATAGTACATATAAAAGAAGAATAATATACATATCACAAATAGTTTTTATTTTATGAGTCATAGAATATCGGCAAAAATCACCGGCGTACCAGGAACGGCCACCTTTATAACGGTCGGCTGTTAAAGTGTTAAGAATGCTTAGCATTAAAAGTTCGCCTTTTCACTTGACTGCCAAGAAGTGGTTATTTTTTATACAACTACCTACCTACCTACTTATTAAACTACTTATCTACTATTAACGTAATATTGAAAAATGTAATAACTCATGATTAATAAATATTAAATTTAAATTAATGTTATTTGCTTTTTAATTCATTCAAGGAGAGTAATCTTCTTTCTTTATAATATAATAATAGACATAGGGCCTGTAAAGAACTTCGCACTCGGCACCCTTATCTTTCACTCTGATAATGTATGTAATGATAAAAAAATGAAACCAAACAAAAAAGGTTGGCTACCCCGATGATATCGTCAAAGGTCAATGTAATTTTTTCCGCCTGCCCTAGAAACGTATTATAATAGTTTATGAAATTAATTTTTTGTCTGAGTTTGTTATAAGAGACAAATGACAATAATTACAAACTTTCAGCAAAAGTAACAGCTGATACAATTAAGGTAGTGCTAAAATCAATAATCGATATAGTTATAGTTTAGGAACCATAAAAAGCTGATATTTAGAAAATACTACCGCAAATGTATGTATCTATTACTACGTGTTATTTATTATGAGGTTATTTCTAATAATGTGATATTGCGGGCTATATTTTGTCACGAATTACTTGGTAAAAATAAATATAAGATTCATTATAAAATAATATAGAAGATAATAATTAATTGAATTCACCGCCCTAAAGTTACACTTTGTTCTAGGATATAATTTCATCTTTAATAGAAAATCTCGATGAATCAGAAAGCACTGAAATTCAAAGTACTGTAGAGGAACTGAACGATATTGGAAAATTCGAAATTGTAAGTATCATCCGTTCTCAATGATGTTTGACAACAATTCAAATATTATTATTGAGAACGGTAATATAACTATATAGGTAATATAAATAATATAATATAGTCTGTTCGCTTAGATATGGTCGTCACGTGCGACGTACACCTGCAGGAAAATTTGACATTATAAAACGAAACGCCGTACTGTAAGGTTGTTTTGTTGACTCTGCTACGTTTACAGAAAATGTTTTTTCGTCCTTGGGAGGACAATGCCTCCAATGCCAAGTGCCTCAAGATGAAATTTTGTGTGAATCAATTACAAAAATGCTATTTAATATGGATTCAGATCGTTATGACGTTGAATGCTTTATTATAAATACAGGTAGCAATGACTCCGACACTTCGAGTGATGAAGAAGTCTATTTTTACCTACTTACTCCTATTTTTCATTTAAATTTTCTTTACTACTTGTGTTTAATGTTTATATTTTATTACAATAACCATAAGAATAAAATAGAATACTATTTTATTCTTAGAACAGATAAACATTTATTTAATAAACAGTAAAAATAAAAAAATCACAGCAAAAGTGCGCCTCTACCACCAACACTATCTTAGTGAACAGACTATACAGTATCCGTTCCTTTCCTAAGTCTTAAATGTATAACCTATATTTGTTCTAGACTACGGAACCAAATATTTCAACCTGTCAACCATACCAAATTGAAGGTCGAAGGATTGCGGACTTAAATTACTTTTATGACCAAATGAAACATTATCTGATCATAAGCCGGGACTCGGTTGTACAATAAGCAACATTTAAATTATAAGAGAGAAACTTATTGGTTTACAGTCCACCATTTACTTTCAACGTAATATGTGCAACCGAAAATTTAAAATAAATTTGTGTGAAAATTTACTCGATGATCATATAACCATAAATCATGCTGCGGTGACTGGCGCTGTTGATTGGCTGTGAACGCATTAATTTAAATGAGTTGTTCACTGCTGTTGATTTACGAAACTTAAATCAAACTTACAATAAGTGTTATAGTGACGTTTCCAGTTGGTGGGAAGTTCAGAACAGAATGAAAGAGGCAGCTAAAGAAGAAGGTGAGCTAGCAACTGAAAGTGGAGATATTATTGTCGGAATTCCTGCGATCAAAGCCGTGGCTGATATGTGCTGGTCTAAAAGGTCTTATGGAAATAATTACGTTGCAGCTTCGGGTCCAGCCGCAATTATTGGAGTTAAAACTAGGAAAGTCTTATTTATGGAGGTAAAAAATAAATATTGTGTAGTACGCACCCGATCGGTATTAAAAAAGCAGACGACACCCATCCATAATTGCACTAGAAATCATGTAGGATTATCCACTAACATGGAACAAACAAGCATAGTCGAAGGGTTCTAAACTTCAGAAACCACTGATAACTTGATATATAAAACACTTATAGCAGATGGGGTTGCAAGCTCTTTCAAAAATTTTTAGAAAGCAGGCCATTTCCAAATGTGCATGTACAAAAAGTTGAATGTTCAAATCACCTGCTTAGAAACTATAGTAGTAAAATTATGCAGCTGCAAAAGCACTTTCTGAAAGAAAACAGCTAAATCACTCGACTTCGTACAGCCGTAAGAGCTGCGGCTTACTTTCGCAATGCTCAGAACACGAACAATTCCGATAAAATTTTAAAATTAAAAGATGACATAGTAAACAGCCCAAAGTAGGGTAAACCAAGGTATAACTGGCCACTACCAATAACTAGCCACTTAGTACTTTATCTATTTGAAATAAGAATAATGTTTTATTTGCGCCATCAATGAACGTATCAAAAAAATGCCTCGTCATTCACCTTTCGTAGTAGTTCAACTTTTTTCGCTACAGATACTAGCGCCCAAGCAAACTGCCATTTACTGACAGTTGGTGTACGTGTCTCGACATGCAAGTTACTTTACTACGTAAATGTTAGTGGCTAAGTTTTTACAAAATTTAAATTATAGGTGATAATACTTGGCGTTGGTGAAAGAATCGCATATTTCTACATATTTGCTTGGTGAGTTATATGAATCTTTATTTTAATTCTAATAAAATCTTAAATAAGCCGTTATTGAAAGGGTGGCTAGATTCTGAAGTAATTTTTTTTGGAAGTTTTTAGTTATTGGCCACGTATGCCAGTTACTAAAGTTTTACCTATTATTCAAATTTCTTTAACAATAACTCGTATTTATGATGTTTTTAAGGTGTAGTATTGTGTATTTTCTTTTTAGCAGAATTAGTCGACTCTGATCAGAAACTGGCATAGGTGGCCAGTTTGTGGCCAGTTACTAATCTATTTTCTTATTTATTTTACAGTTCATTGAAGTGTTAGTAAAATGTCTAAAAAACGACAATACGGCAAAGAAACAATAGATAAGGCTCTAAAATTTATTGAGAATAAAGAGGGTTCAATTCGACAGGCGGCAAAACAATTTGGTGTGCCCAGAAGTAGCCTCCAATTTAAAATTAAAAATCCTGACACAAAGTTTAAGTCTGGACCAGATCCAGTGCTAACTGAAGCTGAAGAAAACAGTTTATGTGACTTCATCATACAACTATCAAAGCGTGGCTTCCCAAGAAAGAAAGAGGATATCCAATTATGTGTCCAGAATTTTTTGCAACAAAATCCGAGACCCAACCCTTTCCGAGACAACAAACCGGGAGATGTGTGGTTTAAGGCTTTCCTGAAAAGACATCCTAATATTTCTATTCGAACATCAGAAGGAGTTACCAATGCAAGCGCTTGTGTTTCTGAACAGGATATTAGGAAATGGTTTCGGGAAATAAAGCAGTATTTTGACGAGGAAGAACTAAATGACGTCATTCAAGATCCCATAAGAGTATTCAATGCCGATGAAACTGGATTCAATATTTGCCCGAAAACAGGCAAAGTATTGGCTGAGAAAGGGTGCAAAAATGTGTACCAGATAGAAAAAGGATCTTCTAAAGAAAACATTACAGTTTTATTTACGTTTTCTGCTGCTGGACACGTCTTTAGGCCAATGATTATCTATCCTTATAAACGGATACCTGACCGAGTTTCGTTGAGTGTGCCATCTGGTTGGGGAATAGGGCGAAGCGACACAGGTTGGATGACTGCAGCAGTTTTTTATGATTATATCTCTAACTGCCTGCACCCACAAATTTTAGAAAGTAATATCCCACTACCAGTAATTCTATTTGTCGACGGACACAAAACCCATATAACCATAGAAATATCAGAACTATGCCGCCGTCTTCAAATACATCTAATAGCGCTTTGTCCAAACGCAACTCGTATACTACAACCAGCAGATGTCGCAGCTTTTCGCCCAATAAAGGTAGCTTGGAAGAAGGTACTGCGCGATTGGTACGCTGCGAATAATTACGAAAATAGTCTGACCAGAGAAACCTTTGCTCCACTCTTAAAAACAGTTGTAGACTCGTGTTCTAAGAAAGAGACATTAATAAATGGATTCAGAGTAACCGGTTTATGTCCATTTGAACCAAATAATGTTGATTTTAGCAAGTGCATTGCAAGGGTAAACCAACCCGATGATACACCCACGTCAGAAAAAAATGTTAAGCATAATATGAATGTGTTGACCTATTCAGAGTTTTGTAACATTGTGGGTGAGTCAATTCTTGAAAAATGTCGAACAGTCTCTTCCATTTTAGAGTCAGATGATAACTTTTTTGCAATTTACAATTTATGGCAAAGATTTGAGGCTGCATCGGAAAACAATAATAATTATAGAATTAATAATGACGTGGACCGTGGCCCTTTCGACAAACCGACCAAAATCGTAGAAGACAATTATGTGACTGATATTATAGAAGATGACGAAACCCCTAGGTCGATTCTTGATGAATTTACAGGTGAGTTAATAAATAAAAACGAAGAAAGAGAAGATGAAAAGAAAGAAGTGTATAGCGAGCCGACACTTCAGAATAATTTAATAGAACGTAGTCTCACTCCGCAGCCTAGCACGTCAAAACAAGTCACATATTCGACGGTTTCCATAATTTCTAATGTATCTCTAACTGAATACTTGAAACAAAACTTACCATTATCACCTAAGCGACAAGGAAAGCGCCAAATAGAAAGACTGCCATTTGCTTTAACTTCAGACCAATACGTGGAAAGAATAAAAGCAAAACAGTTAAAAAAGATTGAAGAAGCTGCAAAAGAGGAAAGAAAGAGACTAAGAGAAGAAAAGAAGAAGGAAAAAGAAAACAGTATACCTAAGAACAAAATCAAGAAAAAAAGTGATGGAAAAAGCAAAACAAAGATAATTGAAGAAGATATATGCAAAGAAAATACTGAAAATACATATGAGGTTAATGAACAAAAAGTTTTTTGTGATTTTTGTTCGATGCATATTATTTAGTGACATTGCAATAAATCTAATATAATAACTTATTTTGACATAATTAAAGTCTGACTTTGTGAAAGTGCTTAAGTGGCCAGTTACTGGTGGTTTTACCCTATATCTTGGGCGATCAGTGAAGACTATTATTGTACAGATAAAAAGAAAAAAGAGCAAAATCTGGTTCCCTTAGCGAAAACTCTTTAGAAAACGAATGGTTCACACAATAAAATTGCACTAAACTCAAAAACCTTGCTTTACAATGTCAACAATAATAGCGCCGAACAATTCAACAGTATTATTACTAAACATGTAGATGGCAAACTTGTTAAATTTTCGTTGAAAAATTCTTATACAGCCCAAAGTCACGCTGCGGTTGTAGCATTCAATACTGGAAAAGCGGAATACAGTTTGTACAAAGCAAACTGAAAAAGTAAATCGATTCAGCTGCTGAAGTTAAGACGTAGCAAGTGTAACCAAAACCGTAGTCATCGATCAGGCTCCAAAAAAAAAAAAAACTCGTCTTACCGAATGACAGGAACGACTACGGAGAGAGATGTCAAAAACCGGATTTAACGCCGGAGCTGTATGAAACTGCAACAAATTTGTTTTTGAAAAACTTGAAAAGCCTATTAGAAAAGCGCATGGCATGGATTAGAACGAGACACTGTTTTACAAGCTGAAAGCGCATTATGGCTGGAGCTACGAAAACGTCTGTTAACAGCCTCATCTTTTAGCAAGGTACGTTAAACGAAAGTCGTCCTTTAAGATTTATGTTGATATGTTTCACACGTTTTTGTTTTTTTAGGGTTGCAAGAGGCGATGTAATATCAGCTCTGCACCGCTTGTGAAGTCTCCTGTCTATTCATATTCTTTGAACGAGCATCCATAGAATACGGAAAAACTAATGAAAAAATCGCTATCAAGCAGTTATAGCAGAAAGAAGGTATCGTCGTACAAAAATGTGGACTTTTCATCGATTAAAAATATTTTATCTTGGGAGCATCTCCAGATTGTCTGTTTGATGAAGGGATTGTCGAAATCAAATGTCCATATTCGGCGCGTAACATGGATGCTGAACAGGCCATTTATTGACCGTACGTATTAGTTCGAATTTACTTTGATCTTAATACTATATAAATTAAATAATATTATTTATTTTTGGTCAAAAAAAAATGTTTGTCTGCTTGCGTTGTGGCCAGGACAAAAATTCCCTTTAAAGACCACAAAAATTACGAGAAACGACTTTTTTTGGACGACAAAAATGGATGTGTAAAATAATTGAAACGGTGCACAGTGAAGACCCAAATGTGAAATTAAATGCAAATAATGCGATTGTAGAAAAATTCTCTATTCAAGAAATGGATATGCACAGTTAAACTAAATTTGCAGAATGCTAAATATGCTAAATATGAATAAATCAACGTATACGAACATTGAACAATCTATAATACCAATAATTGAAGAATGTGCCATAGACACAGGGCTGCCAGATGTACGATTTTAATCGTAGTCCTACGATTTTTTGGCATTTTTACTCATGTACTATCGCTAGACCAAGATCGTACGGAAAATGTACGATTTTTATATACCTTATATACCTATAAATCTGGCAACATTTCATAATGAATTGAACGTGCTCAACTGGCAAGTATGAGTTTCGGGGAATTCCCCAACAACCTAACGCGTACGTAGATCTTTTACTTGAATGAAGATTGAAGACTCTTTGTAGAGTCATTTAAATTTAAATTAAAATTATTTGTTTGCATTTTTTCGAAACTTATTATTTTTTTCTTTCGGTAATAATTGCGATTTCTTAAAAACTCTTTTTTCTTGTTAGTCTCGCTCGAACTGTACGTAGTTTACATATGCTCTTTAAATCGGTATACTGTCTTCAGTGCTTTTGTGTGTTTGTGGTTTTTGATCAAGCAAGAATGTGTGACAAAAGTGAAGACGAGCGACTTGCGCCAGGTACTCCAAAAAAGAAATTGGCTAAAAGAGGAGAGCTTTCTGTAGCAGAGAGGGATAAACACAGAGCACAGAAGTATCGTCCTGATTTATGATGACTAGACTGTTTTAAGGACTGGTTAGGGCCTGGTAAAAACCAATTTAAAGCCAGGTGCACTGTTTGTGACGTCCAAATGGTTTCAGAATATGGAGTTTTAAAATTACATTCTTCAAGGCAAAAGCATACGAAAGCCATGTCGGCAATACCAAGCAAAACAAAACAGCGTAATATCATGTCCGCATTTGTTACGAAAGGAGTTATGTGGAAAAATAAAGTTGTCACAGCGACTGAAATCAAGCTGGCGGGTTTTCTAGCTGAGCATAATATTGCATTCCAAACTGCAGATCATATGTCAGATTTAATAAATGGCATATTGGAAGATTTTGGAGTGGAACATAAAATTGCTATGAAAAGAACAAAAGCTACTACTACTAAAGAGCAAAATCTGGTTCCCTTAGCGAAAACTCTTTAGAAAACGAATGGTTCACACAATAAAATTGCACTAAACTCAAAAACCTTGCTTTACAATGTCAACAATAATAGCGCCGAACAATTCAACAGTATTATTACTAAACATGTAGATGGCAAACGTGTTAAATTTTCGTTGAAAAATTCTTATACAGCCTAATGTCACGCTGCGGTTGTAGCATTCAATACTGGAAAAGCGGAATACAGTTTGTACAAAGCAAACTGAAAAAGCCCAAGTAAATCGATTCAGCTGCTGAAGTTAAGGAACATAAAATTGCTATGAAAAGAACAAAAGCTACAGCTGTAATCACCGAAGTAATTGGTGAAAGTGAAGAATCGTTTCTAGCCGAAAAACTGAAAACTGAGAAATTCAGTGTTACGTCTTAGTGTCTGACGAGTCAACAGATGTCAGCACTCACAAGGCCAGTTGTATAATTGTTAGATATTATGACGTTGAGGAAAATAAAATTGTGAGTAAGTTTTGGGATTTTTGCAAAATATTTAGCTCTGATGATGAAAAAAACAGCAGAAGAAGGTGCTACTGGGGAAAATTTGTTTAACATACTGATGAAGTCTTTTTCTGACCGGGATATATCGACAAAAAATATAATTGGTTTTGGTACAGACGGTTGCAACGCGATGATGGGTGGAAATAACTCTGTGGCGAGCAGACTCAAGAAAAAATTGCAAAACAGGTATGTTTGCAATGAAATGTGTTTGCCACTCTGCACACCTTTGCACATCTGAATCGTGCAAACAATTACCAAGGCACTGCGAAGATTTAGCGAAAGAGATATATAGTTTTTTCAAAAATAGTTCAAAAAGACAATTTCGCCTTCAACAGTTTCAAGAATTTGTGCCTGAATTTCGCCGTCAGATTCCTGCCACTAAGGAGTTTTTTCATCGCTGTCGGCATTTTCTAGTCACAAGCGCTAAAGAAATTAAAAAAAGATATGACCTAGATGATCCCATTCTATCAAAAATAGACTGTATTGAACCTACCAATGCTGTTGCTAGTAATTACAGGAATAAAGTACCTACCTTACAGCCGCTTATGATACTTGTTCCAAGAATCGTAAAACCCGACGACATTCAAATGATGCAGGCAATAGATGACGAATGGCGCAGTTTTCCCAACATTTCAGATAAAATTGATTTATCTATGAATACCGACGAGTTTTGGGGCATCATCAAAAAACAATTTGAGAATTATAAAACACTGGCTCAATTTGCCTTAAATTTGTTATGTTTGCCCCATTCTAGTGCAGATTGTGAAAGAGCATTCAGCGAAGCAAACTTAATAAAAACAAAATTTAGAAACAGTTTATCGAATGAAACACTAAAGGGAACATTATTAGCCAAACAATTAATAAGAAGAAACGAAAATTGTACGAAGTTTAAGCCAACAAAAGAAATGTTAAACAATATGACCACAGAAAATTTGTATAATTCTAATAAATAGTTTTTTTAATTGTGTAGTTTTAAGTTTTTATTTTAATCTTTTTTTTTGTTGTGTAGGTATACTATAAGGCATCTGCCAAATAAATATGTTTTCTTTCTTTCTTTTATTGCATTTCTTTTCTAAAACTAAACGATTATTTGTTATTTTTAATAAAAACTTTGTACTTATAAGTTGTACGATCTTTTCATTTCTAAATTTCCTTGGCATACGATTTTTTTTAGTTGTCGTACGATCACACCATTTTTGCACCAGACAGCCCTGCATAGACAAGATAAGAAGAAGAAAAGAAAGAAGATGAAGCAGTAATTGATTTTTCAAAAGAAACTGGACTGTCGGTAGTCAAGTGCGGATTGTTCATCGATAACAATAAAAACCTTTTGGCTGCAAATCCCGATGGACTAATAAATGAGGTTTCAATTATTGAAATAAAATGCCCGTATAACATTCCTGAGATGACTCCAACAGAAGGAATAGAAAATAATAAATTGACTCTTGCACACTCCACAACGACAAGTTAAAATTAAAAAGAAATCACAACTACTACTATCAAGTACAAGGCCAATTGCACGTTACATGCCGAATATTTCGTTACTTTGTTTTGTGGAGCCTCAGATACCACGAAATTTATCTGTAAGAGAAAGGATGGAAATGACAGAATAAATATATATGTTAATTATTATATAACTTTGGTATTATTTAAAATACCCACAAGCACCCCTTCTGCTACATAAATATTAAGAATTTACTTGATAAGAGCAGTCATTATTTTGTAAACTCCCCAGTAAAGCTGGCAAATCAAGTAAGCAGAATTATCACACTAAGCATTAGAGTTATTATTTGGTTACGGTTTGTGCTTTTTCGAGAGACACTTTGCTAAAGTTCATTTCAAATAATAGTTAACGTTAATTATAAACTTAAAGTATCATTGAATTGTTACTTTCTCTTTCTTTAATTGTTATTGTCAATTTTTGATATGAAAGGTAAATTCACTTTTTCAGTCTGTCTTGTGAGGGTGTCACGCAAAAGAAAAACCCATTGAATTAAGCATTGATGAGGTGATAGTGCCGTTCAGCGGGTAGTGTGGAATACGGCTATATTGTCCAGGAAAACCCAACCCTGTAGACCTAATTTTTTGCATTGGCAACTCCACAAAGCATTGTCTTTGACATCCTTCCGTACTAAGGAGATACTACTTGTCCCGAATTGATAGAAGAAGGCTATATTCTTGGTGAGGCGTCTACGCCTGTGAGAGGTCACCACATTTATTTTGATAGGTACTTCACCATGGTGAAATTTGCTGAGATATAACTACAAAAAGGTTTTCACGCAACAGGCACTATATAAAAAATAGGATTCCGAAAAATTGACAGCTCTTTGACGAAAAAGCTTTCGCAAAGAAGCTCAGATGATATCCTGAAACAAAATTAAGATGTGACACAGTATTGAACATAGTTCGTTGGCAGACTAATAAACCAATTATCCTCTTATCTACAATTCACTCCAGTGAAATCAGGATCAGTGTCGTAGAAATTTGTATCTAGGTCATAAATAGTCAAATCATACAATCAATACATGGGCGGAGTTGACGTGGCTGATCGCATGCTGTCTATATGTCTCTCCAGATCACGCATCAAAAAATTGAGAGATTTGTATTTCACATGGTCGATTTGGCAGTCAGTAACGCGTGGCTTTTGTACCAAGAAAGAGAAGCTGAAAAAGGTGTCAACAAATTTAAACTACCACAGTTACGCACTTTGAAACTGGGTAGTATGATAATAATAACAAATGCATATAGATTTAATAAAATACTTGGATTTTTATTTGGAGTTGAATTCCAGTGTCATTACATAGGTACAACATGAGTACGAACAAACGTATAAACAGAATCACTGTCATATGTTTATGACATAAGTAAAATCTATATATAAAAAACATTTTTTTCATATATTTGGACATGTAGCCCGTCGTAATAGTCCCCTGATATACTATAAAACCTAAGTTTTAAATAATATCGAATTATTTTTGCAACGCATCCTTTACAATAGAGAAAACAGTTTAGTGGTTGTGGCGAATCAAGAAGATGATGTTAAGACGCTGGTCATGGAACATAAATAATGTTTGTTTACATCTACTTCGAGTGTTAATAGTGAAATGTGGCATAGATGATTGGGCCATTTGAATATAAATGACCGGAATAAAATGAAGGATGGAGCAGTTACGGAAATAACTTACACAGATAAGTCAGTAATCAAGAAAAGTACATGCACAGTATGCTGTGAAGGAAAGCAGTCGCGTCTGCCATTCACTCCGGTACAAGTAGTAGTGAGCCTCTGGGTGTAATATACGCTGATGTCTGCGGGCCAATGGAGACTACTTCAATTGGTGGATCCAGAAATTTCCTGATTTTTGTTGATGACTTTACCCGTATGACCTTTGTTTATTTTTTAATGCAAAAAGTGAAGTATTAATGTACTTTAAGTAATTTAAAAGTATAGTAGAAAATCAACAAGAGAGAAATATTAAATTATTCAAGACTGATAATGGCTTAGAGTTTTGTAGCAATTATTTTGAATATAATTTAAAACAGTGTGGTAAAACATTAAGTGGATACAGGCCATGAAGGACGAGCTGCAGGCTAGAGTAAGTGAATTACCTACTGATAAAACTTTAATACATTGCAAGTGGGTGTTTAAGAAAAATGTTAGTGATTTGAACAGTGCGCGTTACAGAGCATGTTTGGTGGCTAAAGGCTTCATGCAGAGGCCTGGCATCGATTATGAAGAGACCTTTTTACCAGTTGTCAGACATTCTACTTTAAAATTATTGTTTGCACTGTCTTTTCAATTTAATTTAAATGTCAAACACTTAGATATTAAAATAGCTTTTTTAAATGGTTTTCTAAAAGAGGACATTTATATGGTTCAACCAGATATTGATTGTGATTCAAGTAAAAATAAAGTAATTGTAAAATTAAAAAAAGCTATTTATGGCTTAAAGTAATCATCTAGATCATCATCATCATCTAGATCATCGTATGAAAGAGTAGATCAATGTTTGTGTGAGCTAGGTTTCAAGAAGAGTCTCATAGAGCCATGTGTTTTTACAAAAATAAATAATGATGTAAAAATTATTGTTGCGCGCCATAATTAATGCATGGTACATGGCGAGTACCCACAAGCGCCATCTTGAATCGAGTAGTAGATCTAGGTGAGCTTTCTAGAAAATTCCATACTAGAAATTTCTACACCTAGTTTGTCGGAACCGGTATGTACTAGAACATTATACATAAGGCCGATAGGGACCGCGACGGAGTCAGTATTTAATTGGCGATTCAAGCGAATATTTCGAAGCGATATAACTGCGAACTAAAGTGATCATTGTGATTAATTATTAGCGTGTTTTAAGGTGTAATTGGTGTCGGTAATTAGTGTCAATTTTGGTAATTCAATCGGCAGTTTTTACTGTCACGGACCCCAAACTCGTAACAATTGGTGTCAGAAGTGGGATAAAATCATGCCGATTTTACCTAAGGACGACACGGA